GCCGCCCCGGGGCGGGACCGGCCCGGCCCGCGCCGCCCGCTCCCCAGCGCCCCCTGCTCCCGCTCGCCCGGCCCGAGGGCCGCCGGGCCCCGCTCCTTGCCCTGTGCCCACCTGGTGCCCTGTCCCCGCCGGGTCCCTTCCCGCAACCCTGCATGTCCCTGCTCCCAACCCCACACGTCCCCGCTCCCGACCCCTAAATGTCCCCGCTCCCAACCCCACCAGCTCCCTGCTCCCGACCCCTACACATCCCCGCTCCCAACCCCTACACATCCCCGCTCCCAACCCCTACACGTCCCCGCTCCCAACCCCACCAGCTCCCCACTCCCAACCCCTCCATGTCCCTGCTCCCAGCACCTCCATGTCCCTGCTCCCAGGCCCACCAGTTCCCCACTCCCAACCCCACCAGTTCCCCGCTCCCAACCCCTCCATGTCCCTGCTCCCCCGTCCCTAGCAGCCCTCCAGGCCCCTGGCCCTGCCAGGTGCCCGCTCCCAAGCCCACGTCACACATGTCCCCGCCGGCTCCCCGGCCCCACCTCGCCCGCCCAGACGGGCACCGCGCTCTYGAGCAGTCTCGCCATAAAAGCACAGCTTTACATCAGCGGATACAGTGAATCATAAAAATCTCCCTACGAATGCAAGCGCTTCGCGCGGCGCTGGCGTGACAGCGCTTAACCCGCCAGCCTGTCAGTGTCGTGGCCTGGCGCTCCGGCCCAGCAGGTAGCGGTGGCACTGGGGCTGGGCTCACGGCGGACACGTGTCCCGTGCCCTGACGGCTGCTCTCCCGGGCCCGTGCACGGCCAGAGCCTCTGCCCGCAGGAGCTGGGAAGGCCCGTGGGGATGCACGYGGAGCCCCCATCTTCCTGCACTCTTTTGGCAGCTCATCACGTGAATGGGCTGAGCTGGAAGGGCTCGAGTGCCTTCAAATCAGACATATTTGCATTTCCCGATAAGATTAACACGGGCACAATCATTACTTCAGGAACAGAAATAAAACAACGAGTCCGACAAGCTGAGCGGGACGGAGCTCACCACGTGTTTGAGCAGCAGACTGCGACGCAGCGTTACCGTGTCTGCACACAAACACAGCGCTGTGCCGCGGCGCTTGGGCACGGCGGGGCCACCAGTGCTCTGGTACCTGCCCTGGCACTCCTGCCCTCATACCCCATGCTCCTTGGCAGGGTCCCCGCAAGCAGCGCAGCTGCAGGTCCGGCCCTCCTCGCCCTTGGGCACCCCGGGGTCAGCAGGACCCATGCGGTCACTTGCTGAGGCAGTTGTCCCATTCCTGCATGCTGGAAAACCATCTGACGTGGCCCCCGCTGGCTCGTGTTTCAGTTTATATTTGGGCGTTGCATAACCGCRCGCTTCCCAGCACGGCTGCTTCCACGCGCTACCCCCGGCACTTCCGTCACTTTTTCCAGTGCCATATGCAAAAGCGTTTCTGGGGCAGCATGCAGAGCACAGGCAGGCCCACTCCGTACGGAGCTCCTTTCAGTTCTGCTCTGCCCTTCAGGCCAGGCTTTGGATGCCCACGGCGAGGTGGCCGGTGCCCAGGCGTCGCTTTCCGTGGCCCCTCCAGGGATGCACGTGCCAAGGCTCTGGAAGAAGCACCGTGCCCGGTGCTTTCCACTCTGTGCTTAAATGCGACTCATACCTACGCAAGGATCTTGCAGGAATTACATTGTTATTTGCCTTCTTTTTGCTCRTGATGAGATGATTAAATATCTCTTACTAGAGAAGTCACTTACAAGTCCCATTTTAGAAGCTTCCTTCCCACTCAGTGACCTGCCCGTGCCACAGTTCCTCGCAGGGTGAGCTCCTAGTAAACACGGGCTCAAGGCTGTTCTCTTCTCGAGTATGTGCAAGGCGATGGGTGCCCTTCGCCGCCAGCGGCACCGCGTCACGGCCGCACCGCAGTTTCGCCCCGGACTTACCCGGGCCACAAGCCAAGTTAAGAAACAGTTTTTTTTTTGCAACAAGATCCAAAACTCCCGAGTGAGTTATTCCCTCTGCTGATTCACGCCTGAGTCTCCCCAGTCACCCTAGTCACCCTTAAACAAATAGAGACGCAGGATTTCCTGCTTCTGCCCTGAAAGTGGAAAAGCTAAAAGAAACGGCCGAGATGTCAGACTGCAGCCAGGCAAGCAGAAACGCTGGAGAGAGGCTCCGAGGTACCTGGGAGATGCCAAACACCGGCGTTTCCCATGATCTAGCTTAGCTAAGCCCAGCGGGACGGGTCCCACTGCCCCACCTAGCAGGGGGAAAAGCTGAACTTGGGATCCGCAGGCAGATATCCGCTCGCTTCGGCTCTAGCTTCAAATCACTAACTGATTATTCTGGAAAAGAACTTAATCTGCAGCTCTGGGAAGAAAAATAAGGAAACAGCAACTCCTAATGGGTTGTAACTTCAGCTGTAACCATAGGCATGCAGAAACTCAAAACCAAAAGCTACAAGGCTCCCTCAAAAAGGCCTGCTTTTTATGTAGAAACATTCAAAGAGAAACTTCTTGCAGGGAAGGTTAAGAAAGTGCAACTTCTCATGGTCTTCACCACTTCTAGAGCMCATGCTATTCTGCCTGCAAAGCAATTTGTTTCCTGTGCCAGGAAGACGTCTCCTGGGCTATTTACTTTTAATTGCGCCTTGGCTGCAATAAATTGCAGCTCTTCATAATTWCAAACCCTTTACCATTTCCCCACAACGCAGAGCGGAGCCCTCTCTGCCTCTGCACCGGCCGGAGGCTCGCGGGGCCCCGCGGGCGCCCGAGAGCAGCCGGTTCCCCGCGATTCCAGCGGACGCGGTGCCAGACGCCGGCACTGCCCGAACCTCCCCTCGAGAGCGGCTCGGACTTGTGAGCAAACCCGCACATTTCCAATAAAGCAGCTGTCTGCTTCGCTTGGGAGAGGCTCGCCGTGCTGCAGCCGCCCCCAAATGTGGCAAATCCAGCTCGCCAACAGGCGGGCTCTGAGATGCTCCCCGAACGCCGTCCCTTTACAAACTTAGACACGGTAAGAAAAGCCTCGAATGCAGACCATGCACAGGGAACCCCAGACTAAAGCACCCACATGCCCAGGGAAATGCTTGCTAGCCCCGAGCCGGGGCGAGAAAGGCAGTGCTGGAGCAGCGGCTCCACTCCCCAYGCAGAGGGAAGCCCCGCTCTCCTTGCAGGGAACCAAGTAGATGTTCATCCACCGCCCCAAACTGCTCCAGACACTTGGAACAGTGCTCCAAGCATGGCCCAAAAGCCTGCCATGGTGCAGGAAAGGCCTGGAAATAGCCCGTTTGGCAGYGGGAATGGGCAGGACAAGCTGTGCTCTTGGGGAGGTTGGGGCACACTGCAATGTTCTGTCCATTTACAAGTGTCGCCCATTTACAAGTGTCACCTACGTGACAAAATTGCTAAGAATTAACATTGGACTAGATGGTCTCTAGAGGACCCTTCCAACCTTAACCATTCCGGGATTCTGTGTAATTAAAACACATTCAGCCAGRGATGGTTCTCAAACAGCCATGCAATAGTGAGCGGAGGAGCATCAACCCCGGCAGCTCCAGGAGAGGCCTTCAGGGCGGCTCATGCCCGCGTACACGGGGCTGCGGTCCCCGCCGCGCTGCTGCGGGTGAGGRGGATGACGGCCCAGCGGAGGGAGATGCTCAAGGGCCTGCGTTGCTGCATGAGGCCCAGGAGGGCCAGCACTTGGGGACAGGCCACCACCCGCATYGCGGGGACACCCCAGCGGGCCCGGCGGCGGGCTGTAAACTCTGCAATCGCTGTAAACTCCTGTTTACCCGCTGTCCTCAGCGGTGCCAGGCAAACAACCGGCGCTAAATAATTCATTTGTTTAATGTATCCTGTTAGTGCATTCGTGAGTGCCCATGAGCAGGGAGCCATTTCCTTGAATTAAGCCATTGTTCTAACAGATCCAGCAAATATATATTGGAGAAAATACCCCCATAGATGGGCTTGAAAATTCGCAGGAAACACAGGAACCGAGGCGGAGCACAACCGCAGCGTGGGGTGAAAAGCTGGAATGAAAATGCCCGAGCCTCGTGGCATCAGCTCCTCTRCCTCGACGGCTGCCAAGCCACGAGGTCTGAAACCCTGCACCTTGCAGCTTGGGGTCTCCTGTGGGCATCCAGCAGGTTTCACACCATTCCTTGCTTGTATTTTCACTCTGTGTGAGATTTGCAATTTTCTTTTTCATCCACAAAGCTAGAAAGGTGAAAATCCCCAGGAGAGCCAGGGAAGCGCGCGGTGCCCTGCACTGCACCGCACTGCGCCGCGCGCCCAYGGAGCCCGCAGCAGCCCTGGGAGCGGCACACGATTCAGATCCACTCTTTCCTCCCCCTAACATTTGATTGCCTGCGATGAAACTAATTATATCTCCCGCACAGATAAGTGCGGATGTGCTAAGGAAGGCAAAAGCGCGAGCACCGGTGGGACAGGTGGAGCCGGMCTCGGATCTTGAGCAACTCCCCGAACAAATGGCTGATCCTGCCCTTCCGCCCCTGCTCGGCACCCGGGGGGACGTTGGTTCTGCGGGAAGCGCCAGCTGTCCCCGCTCACATTGCTCACACCTGCAGCTGCACTCGGGGCTGCCGGCGCCGTGGGAGGCCCGGGGGTGCYGGGGGTGCCGGGCCCRGCACACGGGGGCAGGCAGGCAAGGGCCGAGCGAGGCCGGGAGTGCGGCGTGCGCCTTGGAGCCAAGGGCTGCGCTCCGAGGCGGCGCAGTGATGGGAACAGAAACATGAAGCGAAAGCTTGC